GGAAAGTGCCTCCGTGAAGAGACGAGCTTGGACTCGAGAGGAGTCCAGCGTTGTCAACCCAACATTTGCTTTGTTTTGTTTTTGTTCTTTTGTTAATTTTGCAACTTGTATGTATGAAGTTGGGTGAGAAGTTTAACTTTGAGATATTGTATATAAGTTGTATGAAGTTAAATGTCTTTAATACTTTTGGTTTCAACATGTATGCACTGCTCAATGGTCTATTATCATATTATGCTTTTACTTCCACTAAGCCCCATTATTATATTATGATTGATTTGACTTTGAGACCGAAGGCAATCCGGGATTACTGGCTAGTCACGGCCTGAACCTCTAGGGACAGGCTAGGGTCGTGACAAAACTTGTGGAAGTGATGGAGAGTGTTATAGCGACCCAGGTTTTTACCTCGACTTTCGTTGTGTTCCAGACTCGGATTCCATGATTGTATACTATTGTCTATGTCTTGTTTCCTTCCTTTAACTCTTTGTATTTGAGTTTTGGATTATGTTGGGCGTATTTGGAACAGGTTGGTTGTTACTTGGTCTAGAACGTTGTTGCCCAGATTTTGGCTTCTTCGCTCGAGCAAGGCTTCTTGCGCTCGAGCGAGCCTTGTGAAATTGTTTCTTTGCGCTCGAGCGTGTGTCTGCGTTGGTGATAGACCTGAAGCTTTGCATTCTATGCTCGAGCAAGGCGACTTCTTGTGGCTGGTCGCTCGAGCGACAACTCCTTCGCTCGAGCGAGCCTGTTTATATCAGATCGTGAATGAGATATTTTAGAGCACTTTTGCAGCTCACTCTCACTCTAAAACTCTCCAAAAATGCAGGTTTTCATACTCTCTCTCTAGAATACACCTTCTCTCTAAGATTTCATCTAGATCCGTTATGTTCTTGACCCTAGTGTCTTTGAGAATAAGGTAGAGGGCTTCAAGAGCTTCGTGTTGATCCAAATAAGAGTTGGTTTCGTCATCTTTGGAGTTTCAATCTTGCTTGCCCATCTTCTACACTTAAGGTACGGATTTTCTTTGAGTTATATATATATTTTTGCAAGATCTAGATGATTTTCGAAATCATCCTTTGTTAAGTTTTGAGAAATTATTGTTGATTCAAAAAAAAGAGTGATTTTGAAAGTGGGTTTACTATTTGATCCTTTGAGATAGAAATTGGGAGTTTTGAACCATGTTAATTAAAGAAAGATATTTTTGGTGAGATTTCTTCAAATGTTTTGGAGATGAATTGTTTTAGTAAGAAAACCTAAAAAATAGGAGTTTTAAAAAGATGTTGAGAAATCATGGATGATGTTGTTATATTTATTTTGTATGTCAAAATAAATGGATCTTGGAAAATCTCTTATTTATACTTATATAAATGATAGTTTCATGGAATATGGGAAATTGTTGGGATGGCTTGAAATGTGGGAGTTATGTCATCCCTTGGATGAATTGAAATAAATGTATTTATTCATCTTGTGAAATTGTATTGAAAGGAGAAATGGAAACTTTGATCACAATGGAAATATTGTGTGGAAGAATTGAAAATAGATAAAATGTTGCATTGCATTAATTGATACATTGGTATATAAATTCATTGATAATGAAGAGCTTTGAAATTTGATTTGAAAACTTTGCATTGAGTAAAGAATGTTAAGAAATAAGTTTTCATGAATTGGTTTTGGGGTGAATCAGTGGTAAGTCTCGAAAGGTAGTGTAGAGGATAGTTGTCGAGCCTTCCAGTTAATACTGGTAAAAATGACAGATTATGGGTGTCGAGCCCTCCAGTTGATACCGGTAAAAATGGCAAATTGGTAGTACTTATATAGTCTACTTGCAAACACAGACCTAGGGATTTACGAAGTTGTATTTACCGCCCCTCGAATAAAATTTGATAAATATTGAGCAGTTGAAATTGCATGACATCATTGTGCATGTTGGTTTTCAAAAGATGAAGGTGTGTTTTACTTTCAATAAGGCATGGCATGGCATAAGCATTCCATCTCACGAGACTTGTATAAAACGTATATACTTTGTTAAGAATTTCCTACTGGGGTTTATGCTCACCCTATGGGATTCTTGTGCCGGAAAAGATGTGGTGATTCTGGCTAACTGAAGGTGTGGAAGTGTGTGCAGAGAGCATAATGTGCTCATTTGCTGTGACTCTGATTGTAAGCCAAGGGCTTTGTATGTGTGGGTTTGAATAACCGTTTTGTGTAACCAGGCTCAAGCCTTGGAAACTTGTAAACCCTTGGGGTATTTGTTGTTTAAATTAATTGTATTATCGCATGAAGACTATTTACATCATGTAATGCAAGTATAAGGATTTATTATCAGTTTTACTTTAAAGAGGTCATAACTATTGTATTACCATTTGGGCATGAAAATTGGGATGTCACAAGTGTCATGACCCGAGCATGCCCCTAGAGATTTAGGTCATGACAGTAATCCCGGATTACCTTCGGCCTCAAAGACAAAATCAATCATAATATATTAAACGGGCCCTAATGAAAGCAATATCAAATATAAAAGATAGTCCATTGAGCAGTGCATATATGAAAGATCTCTTCTAGCAAATAACCTTCCACCTTGTTACAAAAACATATCACAACACATTTAAACATCGTTTACAATCATCCACTCGCAATCAAGTTCCCAAAAGACAAGACAAAACAAAACTAAGAAAAAGGGTTAACAAGCTTGGCTCCACTTGAGTCCAAACACGCCCCATTACAGAGGCACTCCAAAACAGCTTCATGAGAGTAGACTCCTGAGGCATCTCTAATTCTGATGATGCATGTGCTCACCTACATATATATAAGGGAGAGGGGTAAGCTAGAGCCTAGTGAGTAATATCAATATAAAGGATTTAAATGAATGAAGTCCAACATAGTTCAAAACATATATTTTTCGATATCCAAACAATTCAAATATCCAATCATATCAATCATTTGCATTAACAATAACCAATCAAGTCACTATACATGGTACATCTAATAGAGTACGATATAACAATGTTCCGAAACCAATAGGACCACCACTAAGGTCAATTTAATGGGACCACTAGGGTCAATTAATAAACCATAATAGGTAATTCAATGTGGACCACTTAGGACTAACATCAGAGATCTGTGTGTTTCAATCAATCCATGGGCCATGGTATTGTTTCCCCTTGGCGAGGGTCTCACTAAAGGATGCCACGATTACAGGTTCAAAAGGATTTTCATTTATTAGTAACAAAATAAGATTTTAAAATAACATTCTTGATTGATTCAAAATACTTTTCGAACATAGCTTTATAAAGACATTACTCACAGTGGGTTTGTACCGATATTAAGCCTCGAGCTATCACCTACACAAAACGCATAATAAAGGCACACATTGAAACACATGTCTTAATCCAATGTTCTGTCTCATTTCAATCCTCTTTTAATGTGTTTGTAATTCATTTCTTTATTAAAAATGTCTAAACAATGTCCAAGAATGCCTACAACAGCATGAGGATGAAAACATGCACATGAGAGTGTGTTTCAAAGGTGCGCTCAAGTGGTGTGGTCTGTTTGTAAAAGTACTGGATGATGTCAAAAGTGGGCTCAAGCTAACACTTGGTCGCTCGAGCCAAGAGTAATGCAAAATTGGGTTGCTCACACTTGATCGCTTGAGCCAACTGCAAAGTTTTGCAAAAATACTGGGAACTCGCTAAGTGTGCTCGAGCGATGAGGTAAAATTTTGAGTTTTCCATAATTGAGTTTGAGTTCCAAAACACCAATTCAAAGTTCAAAAGCTTGCATGGCTGGACTAAAAACATGGAAACTCTTTGAATAACATATAAACATAACCAATTTGAAATCAATTGCTCCAAACCATTGTCAATTCTCAAAATCAAACTTAAAACTTCAAACTTTAGCCATGCATGTAAAGAATTCAACTCCTTTTCCTTCAAAATGTGAACACATAAATGATAAGTGAAAAATATGAAGAATCCTTTAAGTTAACATGTATAAACTCCATGCATGTATGAATTTTGGAAAATTAAGCTTGAAGATGACGAAATGTACATGCATGCGCAATTTTAACTCAATCCTACAAAATTCAAAGTCATTCTAGCATTACCTTCTTAAATTCATGCAAATGATCCTACAACTTTATGAATTCAACCTCTACATGAATTATCTACAAGGATTATGGTTAAAAGTCATACCTAGAGCTTGAATTTTAGTATAATCTAACTTAATTCCTTCAATCTTTGCTCTACACTCTACAATTCTTCTGTCTTTCTCTCTCTCTCTCTCTCTCTCTCTCTCTCTCTCTCTCTGTGTGTGCAAGTTGAAGCTCTCATTCTCTCTCAAATTTTCAGCTCAAACTTACTATATGATTCTAAATATTCACTACAAAAATTTCGATTTTTTGCGACGGCATTTTATGCCATCTCAAAAAACTTTTAGCGACGACAAATGACTTTTAGTGACAACAAACGAGGGTTCACAATAGAGGGCGTTAAAAAAAAATTTTAACGATGGCATCATGCCGTCGCCTTTTTTTTTTGCGATGGCATATGCTACTATTTACGACGGCATTTTACTGTTGCCAATAATGTGTAAAAATAGAGACCTTTTGCGACGGCTCTATTTTACCGTCGCCAAAAGTTTTATTTGAGACGGCAGAAATTGCCGTCGCAATTTTTTTTTTTTTTTCTTTTTGCGATGGCATTGAATTTGTTGCCAAAAAAAGGTTTTGATTTTTTGCGACGGTGTGGTGCCGTCGCAAAAAATGCAATAATTATTAAAAATAAAAAAATACATGTTTTTTGCGACGGTATGGTGCCGTCACCAAAAAAAAAAAAAAAACCTGCTGTAAATTAATTAAAATATTAAAATTGCCTATATTCAATGAAAAACAATTTAAAAAGAAGCCAATAATTGCATAATAATATAAAAATTCCTATATAGGAATAACAATTTCTCCATAATAAACATATTCTTGCATTCATAACTATACATCAACAAAATTACCCTAGTATATAATGTTCCATAATACATATATAATATTTAAATACATAATGTTATTCATAATTCAAAATAACATAAACCAAAATTAAATTTTTCCTCAGCATTCTCCATGGTACAAAAAACAAAAATTAGTGGCATTCTTCACAAGCATGAAATCCACAAGAAGCAAACTCCTACTCCGGAAATATCTGGAAAAAAAATAAAAATAATTAATGACAATATAATTATGTGTTAATATGTTAATTACAAAAAAAAAACATAAAAATTTAACTACTATATAATTACAAAGATAATTAAGTAAATAATTGTGCCGATACCAAAATTCGACTCTAACTCCCAAACCGGAAACCCGATTCGAGTCCCGTCTTCTCCCACAAGTCTCTCGTGCCCAGGCGGTCGCGTGTGCCAAGTTTCGTGCTAATCCGATGCCGCTTGGTCATTTTGGGGCGTTAACTCCTCGAATTCTAAGTTTTTTAAAGAACTAGTTTACCTAAAGTGAAATCCGACTCTAACTCGCAAACCAGGAACCCGATTTGAGTCTCGTCTTCTCCTACAAGTCTCACGTGCCAAGGAGGTCATGTGTGCCAAGTTTCGTGCTAATCCGACGCCGTTTGGTGATTTGGGTTGTCAACACCTCGAATTCTAAATTTTTTTAAAAACTAGTTTTGCCTAGAGTGAAATCCGGTTCTAACTCCCAAACCGGGAACTCGATTCGAGTCCCATCTTCTCCCACAAGTCTCTCATGCCAAGGCAATCGTGTGCCCCAAGTTTCGTGCTAATCCGACGCCGTTTGGTAATTTTGGGGCGTTAACACCTCGAATTCTAAGTTTCTTAAGAGACTAATTTGTCTAAAGTGAAATCCTGCTCTAACCTCCCAAACCGGGAACCCGTTTCGAGTCTCGTCATCTCCCACAAGTCTCTCGTGCCTAGGCGGTCGTATGTGCCAAGTTTCGTGCTACTCCAATGCCGTTTGGTAATTTTGGGCATTAACACCTCAAATTCTAAGTTTTTTAAGAAACTAGTTTGCCTAGAGTGAAATCCGGATCTACTCCCAAATCGAGAATCCGTTTCGAGTCCCGTCTTCTCCCACAAGTCTCGCATGCCAAGGCAGTCGTGTGGGCCAAGTTTCGGTTTGGTGATTTTGGGGCATTAACACCTCGAATTCTAAGTTTCTTAAAAAACTAATTTGCCTAGAGTGAAATCCGGCTCTAACTCTCAAACTGAGAATCCAATTCGAGTCCTGTCTTTTCCCACAAGTCTCTCGTGCCTAGGCGGTCGTGTGTGCCAAGTTTAGTGCTACTCCGACGCCGTTTGGTGATTTTGGGACGTGAACACCTCAAATTCTAAGTTTCTTAAGAAACTAGTTTGTTTCTTAAGAGTGAAATCCGGCTCTAACTCCCAAACCGGGAACCTTATTTGAGTCCCATCTTCTCCCACAAGTCTCTCATGCCAAGGCAGTTGTGTGTGCCAAGTTTCATGCTAATCCGACACCGTTTGGTGATTTTGGGGTGTCAACACCTTGAATTCTAAGTTTTTTACAGAACTAGTTTGCCTAGAGTGAAATTCGGCTCTAACTCCCAAACCGGGAACCCGATTCGAGTCCCGTCTTCTCCCACAAGTCTCTCGTGCCTAGGCGGTCGTGTTTGCCAAGTTTCGTGCTACTCTAACGCCGTTTGGTGATTTTGGGGCATTAACATCTCAAATTTTAAGTTTCTTAAGAAACTAGTTTCCCTAGAGTGAAATCCAACCCTAACTCCCAAACCGGGAACCTGATTTGAGTCCCGTCTTCTCTCACAAGTCTCTCGTGCATAGGTGGTCGTATGTGCCAAGTTTCGTGCTACTTCAATGCCATTTGGTGATTTTAGGGCATTAACACCTCAAATTCTAAGCTTCTTAAGAAACTAGTTTGTTTCTTTAGAGTGAAATATGGCTCTAACTCCCAAACCGGGAATCCGATTCGAGTCTTATCTTCTCCCACAAGTATCTCGTGCCTAGGCGGTCGTGTGTGCCAAGTTTCGTGCTACTTTGACACCATTTGGTGATTTTGGAGCATTAACACCTCAAATTCTAAGTTTCTTAAGAAACTAGTTTGTTTCTTAAGAGTGAAATCCGGTTCTAACTCCCAAACCAGGAATTCAATTCGAGTTCCGTCTTCTTCCACAAGTCTCTCATGCCTAGGCAGTTGTGTGTACCAAATGTCATGCTAATCCGACGCTGTTTAGTGATTTTTGGGTGTCAACACCTCGAATTCAATTCGAGTTTCATCTTCTCCCACAAGTCTCTCATGCCTAGGCAGTCGTGTGTGCCAAATTTCATGCTAATCCGACGCTGTTTAGTGATTTTGGGGTGTCAACACCTCGAATTCTAAGTTTCTTAAGGAACTAATTTGCCTAGAGTGAAATCCTGCTCTAGCTCCCAAACCGGGAACCTGATTCGAGTCCCGTCTTCTCCTACAAGTCTCTCGTGCCTAGGCGGTCGTGTGTGCCAAGTTTCGTGCTACTCCAACGCCGTTTGGTGATTTTGGGACGTTAACACCTTGAATTCTAAGTTTCTTGAAAAACTAGTTTGCCTAGAGTGAAATTCGGCCCTAACTCTCTAACGGGGAACCCGATTCGAGTCCCGTCTTCCCCCACAGGCCTCTCGTGCCTAGGCAGTCGTGTGTGCCAAGTTTTGTGCTACTCCAACACCGTTTGGTGATTTTGGGACGTTAACACCTTGAATTCTAAGTTTCTTGAAAAACTAGTTTGCCTAGAGTGAAATTCGGCCCTAACTCTCAAACCAAGAACCCGATTCGAGTCTCATCTTCTCCCACAAGTCTCTCGTGCCTAGGTGGTCGTGTGTGTCAAGTTTCGTGCTAATCCGACACCGTTTGGTGATTTTGGGACGTCAACCCCTCATATTTTTCATGGCATAATTTTACATACCGTAGAAGGTTATTTTTAATATATTTATGACATACTATGTATGCCATATATAATCTTTTACAACATAGAGAGAGAGAGAGAGAGAGAAGCATATTCAAAGTTCATTACGTAAGTAAACTCAATATATAAACACATGATATTCAAAGCATATTCAACATATGTAGCTCGACCACATGATGCATTTTCTTCAGAAGGGCATAAGAAGCAGGATTAAATTATCATTTTTTATTTCCTCCAGGAAAACAACTTATCATTTATAATAAGAAAACAAACATACAGAGTGCATACCTGGAAGAACCACCAATAAGATCAGTTCCACGTAGAATACAATCAATTTATTTCATGTCTATTATGAAAATATATCCAATCAATTTACACAACAAACAAATTATATTACTCAAATTATCTGACTATCCAACTTCTCATAGCATGAAACATCCTTACATTTTGGTGTTAAATCATCTTCACAAATGTGTATGTACAAACAGTGCTTGTATATATATCGGGATGATTCAACGATAGGGCCAACACACAAAGCAATAAATCTTAACTGGTCGCATTTGTTGATCACCCTATATCCTGATAGAAGTGAATCAGATAGAGGATGAGAACCAATTGATCAAGCTTTTGGATAAAAAATTTGCAATTGAAAAATAATGTATTTAAATTGATTTTCTTAATCATCTTAATCCATAACATGTGGGATTTCCATCTTTGTAATCTGTTGATGACAAAATTTAATGTGCATCAGATTACCGAAGTTACTATTTGAAAATGAATATAACACATGCCTCCATGAAGATTCAGAGCTTTGTCGAAAATAGCTGGCACAATTTTTTCATTACTCCAAAGTTGAGACAACATACAGTGCAATTTTTTGAAAACACTAACCATGAATGAAGTCCACAGCTTGGCATATATCACTCAGTGACGGAGCAAAGAGGTAGTCTCTTGTTGGAAGCACCAAATGATCAATACCATAAGCCTGCAACAAATTACCATAATCAGAAATAAATGGAAGAGCTCGGTGAATAACCTTGCACTACAGTGAAATATGGCTGAAGGATGTCAATAAACATGGTGTGAAAAAATATGATGTAAAATAGTTTATGCATCTCAATAACATTCATATGTTGGACCACTAATCAAAAAAATAAAACATAAATAAAAACCATCTCCCTCAGCCTTATTTGGTAAAGCTCACATTCCAATAAATCAGAAATACCCAACAAGATTCTAGATGGAGTGAAAAGCCAAAAAGAATTACTTTCTCAAATAAGTCTGGGAGTGAATGCACTTCAGAAGCAACCTTTAATTATTGCACTTAGTAAAATAAATGGATGCACTTCAGATAACAAAGCTACAACTAGAGGTGTTCAAGCAACCGAATCATCCGACTAATTCGACCCAAAACCGATTGACCTGAATGCATGACGGACGGTTTCGAGCTTCGTTTCGGTCGAAGGCGGGCCTGGTTTCAAAATTAATTTTGATTTTTGGTCGGATTTCGATTCTACATAATAAAAAATAATTAAAACCGAACCGACCGTTTATTATTAATAAATTAATCATACAGAATTTTGATGATGGTTCTATATGTATTTCTCTAATTGATTTGACAAATCACACACACAACTTCCAACACCCTTATCGACATCTCTCTCTATCTCAAAGAACTCAAAAGACAGACCATGATGATGATCTCACCAACCCCCTTTTCCCCTCTCCCTGTCTCTCTTTGTTTCACAGTGATAGATTTCAAACCATCATCTTGTATCTCAAAAAATCAAACGACAGACGATGATGATCTCTCTCACAGTCACAAATTTCAAACCATATTGTATCTCAAAAAACTCAAACAGCAGGTGGATGATGATGAGCACCCACCTACCCTTTCCTCTCTCTCTCTCTCTATATCCCTCTCAAGCTCTCACTTTCTTCAGAAATTCCCCAAGTTCTCTCTCTCTCTTTCACGAATTCTCTCCCTATTTCTCTTTGAAACCCAAATGCATCCATAGTTTCTCTAATGGTCTCACCCATAAATCTGAACTAAATCTTTAATTTCAAACCCTAAATACTCTATATATTAAAGATCAACTATGAAAACCCTCTTTGATTCAAGGCTATTGATGAAGAAAACCCTGTAATTTCGAAGTATTGAAGTTTCAAAGTTCTCTACTCAACGATCAACCAAACCCCAGGTACAATTTTATGAAAATTTTGTAATTTTTTTTGTTAATGGTTCATCACTGTTTTAATAATGTTTACTCAAACCTTCCAACCCATTCACAAATTATTCTCTCTCTCTCTCTCTCTCTCTCTCTCTCTCACACACACACAAAAGTAAAAACACGCATGTATTACATACATACACCTACGCACTCTCTGTTTTTGGCTTCTCACTGTCTCATTGCATGAACTCGGATTTTCAATTTAGATTTTCAGCCCTGGAAACAGAAAGATTTTTCAAATAGGTACTAATTTTTTTTTCATTATTTTTTTTTCTCGAGATTTTGGTTTTTTTTTAGTGCTCAAATATGGTAGATATCATATACGTAACAAGAAATGAATATGATGGTGCTAAATTTTTCAGTTTCCATTAACAATTTATTTGAACTATTTATGTTCATTATTTTTCAATTTAAAATGTTTAAACTTTTCAGTAGATATCAATAACAATTTATTTTTTAGTTTAAAATGTTTCTGTTCATATTGATTGTTCTATTGTTTAACATGTTCTTTATTCAAATTAATAATCCTTGAGTTTTTCAAAGGTTTAATGTGTTCATATTGACTATTAAAGGTTTATTGTGTTCTGTTTGAAAATATGTGTTCATATTGATTATTAAAGGTTTAATGTGTTCTATTTGAACATATTGATTGATATGTTCTGTTTAATGTGTTCATATTGATTTGTAAAGGTATTGATTTTTAAAGGTTTGAAGGCCCAACCCGCCCAACCGATCCGAACCCGACCGTTAAACCACAAATCATCTACGGGCGGTTTCGCCAACAAATTCGATCATAATCGGTTGATTTTTCACCAACCCGCACTATTCTGGTTCGGTAGTGGATAGAGGTTCAACCCGATTCGAACCGACCCGTGTACACCCCTAGCTACAACTCAGCAGGGTGTCCTTAGATGAAATCATGATTACCTAAATAAATCACCATAAAACTACAACTCACCAGTTTTTTAACCCCCAAAATCAAAGTAAACCCCAAATGCACCATCAAGAACACACAAATCACTACTAAACAAACTAGCAATTATAAATTTATATATACTAACCAAGACAAACAGGGCAAGTAGGTAATTCAACGAATCCGGGCAGAGGTGAATAGGCTTCTTCTACCAACTCATAGCTCTCTGCTGATTGAGCAAAATATATATGACAGACCTTAGCCTAACAAATCAAGCATAAAAATCTCAAATTAAAAATACTAGTAAAAGATAGCATCAAACCTTTTAAATCTAACTAATATATATACTACTATACAACGCGCACAACTCATAAGGGTTTGAAGGTTAGTAACTTACTTTTTTCCCCAAAAAATGCTCAATATTGTTAACTGCTACCATTTATCAAATTCAACCCATATTCTTCATTCATCAAATCATCAAAAAATTAGAATGTAAAATTGCAGTGAAATTACAAACGCATACTAATATATAAAGCACACTACTCATAAGGATTTAAATTCAAAAATACCCATATTATTAACTTTTTCAAAAAAAAAAAAATTTAACAGCTAGCCATTCTCAAATTCAATGCATCTTCATTCACCAAATCATCAAAAAAATAAAAATTGAAGAGCTTGGGGGTGGATACCGAAGGAAATAGAGTTCGAAGAAGTGGTCGAGGTAGGATCCACAAAAAAGGAAGAAGTCGTTGGGAGAGAGGTAGTTGGGACAGCGACGACAAAGAGTTTGGTGGATCGAGCGCTAGGGCTCGTGAGAGATGTGGTGGAGGAGGGGAATTGGCTGTGGAAGAGGTGGATTACGCCATTGAGTTCGGTTATGGAGAGGTGGTTGCGAGGCTTTGCGGTGAAGTTGCTAGTGGTGGCAGAGGAGGAGAAGGGGCGACGCGTGTAGATGAGTGGATTTGGAGGACGAACATTCTTAGGGTTAGGATTAATGGCCTGCATGTAGAGATTGACATTCGTAGAGTGAATCGATCAATGAACCCTTACTGCGAAGGATCTAGAAATATAATAAAATGAATCAAACAGAGGTAAATCGATGATGAGCACTTACCGCAAAGGATTGATCGATGATATTTTCGAGAGAGATACATGGAGGAAGAGAGACAGAGAGATGGGGATTTTTGGTTGAAAAGATTAGGGATTTGAGATTTGGGAATTTTTGGTTGAGGCGGAAAAACTAGCGCGAATCAGATTTTTTTTTTTTTTTTACAAAACCACATCAAGTATAATCGTCACAAATGAAAATTTTAAGGTAGCGTTTAGTGTAATGTTTACGTTCTTGGTTTATGTTTATAAAAAATTTATAAATTGATTTTTGTTTATTTTTGAAAAAAAACATAAATTACAAACGCGTTTGGTTTGAACAAAATATTTTAAAATTTTTAAAAATATCAAGTAAAATACACGTTTGTTCAGACTTAAAATATTTATATTTATTTTTTTATTGTTTATGACAATGAGATCATACACATTATAATTGGAAAAAAAATTATTTGGAAAAAAAATTATTGAAAAAAAATTAATTAAAAAAAAAATTGTTAGTCAAATTTTTTAATTTCTGTTTAAAAATCAACGTAAACTTTTTTTGTGAGTTTACAATTTTTCCTCAAATTTATAAATTGAGACAACCATTTATAAGCCAAAAAAATTATCAAACAAGTTTTTATGATAGTTTTGTAAATTTTTGTAAATATAAATTGAAAATTGAAAACGAAATGGTTACCAAATAGGTCCTAAACAATGAATCATGGCTCGTTTAGTAATATTTTTTATTTTTGACGGGGGTATTGCAATCGCCGACAACCTGTATTTGTAACGGGGGAAGGTTGTCGTAGCTAAAAAAAAATAACTCATTTTTTTGCCAAAAACCTCCGTGTCCATTTTGTTATGCAATGAAAGCTAGGAAGAAAGAGAAATAGAAAATGAGAGAGAAACAAGAGATGATCAGTGAGAGAAAGAAAAAGAGATGAACGAGAGAGATATAAAGAGAGACATAAAAAAAAGATGAGCAAGAGAGATAGAAAAGAGAGATGAGTGAGAGAGATAAAGAAGAGAGATGAATGAGAGACATAGAGAGAAAAAGAGAGAGAGAGAGAGAGACCCATTTCATTTTTTGACTTTTTCCTCTTTCAACAACAATGGGCTCAAAGAAAGAGATAAGTGTAACTAAGAGAGAAGAGAGACGAGTCAGAGAGAGTGATAGAAAGAAAGAAAAAAAGAGAAAGAGAAACAAGATGAGCGAGAGATAGACACACACACACACACACACAGAGAAAGATAGCAAAAAGAGATGAACAAGAGATATAGAGAAAGAGAGAGAGAGAGAGAGAGAAGAAAGATGAGCAAGAGAGAGAGAGCGAAGAGAGATGAGAGAACTAGAGAGAAGAGTGATGAGTGAAAGAGAGAGAGAGAGAGAGAGAGAGAGAGAAAAGAGAGAGAAACAAGATGAGCGAGAGAAAGACAAAGTGTCACGACCCAAACGCGTCCCCAAGGGTTAAGGACATAACCGGCCAGTAATCATGAGATTACCTACGGCCTCAAACCATTTCAGACTTGACTCATCAGAGTAAAAGGGCCAAACGGAAGCAAAATTTAAAACTTTGTCCATAGAGCTATGCTTACATGGCACATCATAACAAACCATACATAGACATATTAATAACTCACAACAAAAAACATAGTAACATAAAGTTCTGTACAAACAGGATCATTTAAGTCTAAGTCAACCCATGAAACTATGTACAATAGATTCAAAGTCTTCGCCAACATGACAAAATATAAATACATAACAAAAGGGCGAAGACGAGTCTCGTGCATGAGACGCAAGGGCTGACTCTTCAAAACCTTGGTTGTTCCACACAGACTTCACTGAGGCTGGGTCTGGACCTCTCTTGGCTCACCTACAAACACATGAATGAGCGTGAGCAAAAGCCCAGTAAATAATATCAATTAAAGAAGATGCATTGGAACAATATACATCGGACGGCCTTAGGCCCAATTCATATTTATATCTAGTATATAAATAGATATGGATCAAGTAACTTCGGGTCCAAACACTTCGGACGGCCTCGGGCCCAATCCATTCATGTCAAACTGGCTATTGGCCCATTTGTCTTTCATTCATGTCAGACTGGCCTCTGGCCCATTTGTCTTTCATTCATGTCAGACTAGCCTCTGGCCCATTCATACTTTCATTCAGATCATACTGTCCTCTGGCCCATTTATTCATTTATGTCAAACTGGCCTTCGGCCCATTCATTCATTCACGTCAAACTGGCCTTTGACCCATTCATACTTTCATGTCAAACTGGCCTTTGGCCCATTCATTTGGCATAGCAAACATTGTCCACCAATCAAATCAACAAACTTATAAACTTACATAGAAGTAAGTAATTGGACAACAACATATTTCAGATATCTTTGTCAAGATATTACTCACAGTGATCGGTTGGTTGGTTTGCCTTAGAGCTTGACCCTACACATCACATAACACATACAAGTCACAAATGATTCAATCCGTTCTTTAATTCACATATTCCTCTTTAGGCTTTATTCTTATCCCTTTAATTCATTTACAATGCTTAATGCATGCCTAAGAGTACTTAGAAGTGAAAAAGAACGAAAAACGAAACACAAAATGCACTTTCAAAATTTTCACAAACAGGGTCCCCGCTCGAGCGGACCCATGAGGTCTGTAAAAGTGCTGGATGCATGAAAATTACGCTCGAGCGTGAAGTCGGGCGCTCGAGCTGAAGGTCTGTCTACATAGCTCCCCGCTCGAGCGTGAACTTCCCCCGCTCGAGCGGACACCTTGTCTGCACAAAAAAATACTAGGAGCGCGTATTTCCCGCTCGAGCGGCGATTCTCCCGCTCGAGCGAACATCAAAATTTCTGGGTTTTCCAGCATTGTTCTTGAGCTCAAATTGAACCTTCAAATCAACACATCTTGCATTTTATGGCTCAATCTTCACATAAACATGTACTAACATGGTACAAACACCAAATTACAACATTATGAAGCTCAATTCCATGAATTACTTACATGCATGACCCAAATTACCCCAACTTGCTTTCATGATAACAATTCCATGTATTTCAAACTCATTTCCTCACAAATTGTACATGCATGTGGAATATAACTCCAATTTCAACTCAAATGGTGCAAATGGTGATCACAAGCATGAGTTCTAACCAAAATTCTACATGGATCATGTTTTTCATACTCAATTATACAAATTCATGGCAATTATACACATGCATGCATTCCATGACTTCAAACTCAACAAAACCAACTCAATTCCCTCACAATCAATTTAATTCATGTTCTTGACCATTAATCAAACTTGAATTCACAAAGTTGCAATTTAAGGTCCATGAATTCACTTACCTAGAGGCTTAATTCTCACAATTTATGGTAAATTCCTGAGTGTGCCTTCAAGATCACCAAGCTTCTTGAGCAAAATTGCACAATTCTCCCCTCTCTCTCTCTCTCTATAGCCGGCCTTCTCTCCCTCACAAATGTATAACTCAGATTTTGAGCTCAAAAGAAACAAATGAGAGTGTATATGGCCCTTTAAATAAAAGTCCCACTAACCAAAATTATAAATATTAAATAATTGAGCACTATATCCTTAATTTAATTTAATTAATTTGATCCGTAGGCTCTAAAAATTATGCCAATCACAATGGCGTAATCAATTTCGGGTTTCGTGGCTGATAAGGCCTCCAATTTAAATTCCAAAACAGATAATCAAACAGGTATTTGTGACAACCCTCACCTCTGATTACTGCTAAACTGTGATTGAATATGACAAGTAACTGATTAGGAGGAAATCCTAAACTGATTGCATGAGTATGTTGTTTGGTTGCATTTCTATCTGTTTATCAATTGATTGATCTGTTCATGTTTTAAGTTCGAACTGTAAATTGAAGGCATTATCAGCGGCCGAATCTAAAATTGACTGGTATTTTGTGATAATTAGAATCTATGTGATTTTATGGTAGATTTAATTGAAATGTGATTTGGTATGATTAAATTAGATTAAATAAAGTTAAAATACATCAACTTGAGTTATTTGCATTTATGTCATTGAGTGGGTGATTCCAGGCTAACTCCTCTTCACTTCATACACATTTGACATAACATTTCTTCAGCCACTTCTAGACCAAACGTGAGAGAGAGCTAGAGAGTTGGAAGAAAAGTTGAGTTCACCTAGAATTGGCTTGGAAAATTAGAAGACTTGAAGAGAGATTGCATATTTGAGC